GTACATCGTGCCGTATATATTTTAGTAATTTTTAAATTTTTATAAAAAAATGTGCAGAAAAATAAAGAGAGTAATATGACAATTTAAGCCTGGTTTAACAACTTTAAAAAAAGTCAAAAAGTTATCAAAAAAATTAAGAAGTTATCACTATTCATAAAAAATATATATATATATATATAAATTAATATATAAATATTAAAATACAAAGCAGTTTTGCGCTAACCTTGGTACTGACGTCAACGCAAAGGCAGTGAAATGAAAAAAAAAAAAAAATTTACATGTGTATATTCACTAAGTTAGATGGTAAAGTTAGGCCCATGGAAGCCTATCATGGGTCCCGTTTTGATAATCCGAACTGTTCAATATGTAAAACTCATCTAGTGCTATATGTCTGTTAAAAATCACGTCTATCAGATATCACTAACTACATGATCAAATCAGTTTTATATAAAAAATGAATGGTGTTATAGTAACAGTTGACAAAAAAACTAGCACAATCAGATAGCTATCGATATCCAATCAACGTGATTTTTTACAAACATATAGTACTCGACGATTTCTTCACATTCAACGGTTCCGGTTAGAAAAACGGGACCCGTGGTGGGCCCTCACGGGCCGAACAACACCGTCCAATCAAAGCCCAAAAAGGAGGCAATCTTTTTCCATCTCCTACCTTGTCGACTACACTGCCTAACCAATACGGCCTACTTCACTATCTTCTCCTACACACTTATTTATACAATTTTTTAATACACATTTTTTAATAAAAATTCAAAAAATTAACCCAAACATCCATATTTTTTTCCTAAATTTTTTAATCTAAAAAGACAAAAAGTGCACTTATTTAAGACACTCCAAACAAACCCTTATAGTGATTTTTTAAATTTTTGGCTAAAATTGAAAGTTGCAAACCGAGAATGTGGATTTCAATAGGAATTTTTTTTTAAAATGATTTTTCGAAAGTATCGTAGATGTTAGAGTTCGATTACATCTCACAAAACATTGTTAAATTCAAAAAATGACTTACATTTCTTGCCCTTCTTCGAAAACGATGTGGAATTCTATAATGGCCACTAGTTTTGTTCTTCATTGTTAAGATGATGAGTATTTGGATATGGAACAATGTGAAGTAACCGATGGCACAATACTTGATTAGGAGTAGAATAAGAACATGGAAGCTAGGGCACTAATTTGGGAAAAAATTCAATCCAACGACGTTTCCAACACGTCTTAATACATGATGATAGTATTGTCAATTGGCTATTAAAGGGACTAATTAGAACATAAGAAAAAAGATTAAATGAATTGATGCGTAAGTATTAGAGCGTGAACTTATGAAAAAATGTCACTAAAAAAGAAGAAAAATTATTCAATAATTTTAAACCATCAAGTCAATTTTATTTTAGACCATTCATTTTTATCTTTTCAAAAGGCGAATCCTAATTAAAGAAAATCTCGAGTTTAACTCTTTTTTTTTTTTTTTTTTTTTTAAGTGATTGATCGCAAGTGACAAAAATCATAACTTAACCTTTTGAATATTTTTTCAACTTTCATTCATAAGCCACTGCATTTGCAATTCGAGAGTTGTTTCATTATTTTTAATTATTTTTGGTTCATCAATACCAAAAACCATAATATTGAATATTATAATTTCTAATAGGGGAATATATATGAAGGTTCAAAATACTACACAATTTGCATTGATCCACCTGTTAATCACGGATTAGTTTAATTTGCGATTTGAAATTTATAATTTACTTTTTAAGTCACATTGCCCTGTCATAATTATAATATATATATATATATATACTTTTAATAAAATATTAAAGTAAAAATCAATGTGAAAAATATCTGTAAAATTTGTACAAATTAGCATTATATATATAATAATATAAATTAATATTATATATTATATAAATAGTTAATAATTATTTAAAATTATTCATCAATTAACTAACATGTTAAAATAGGCCAAATCACAATTTAATTATAAATAATAAATTTATCAATATTCATTGTCCACAATTTAATAATAGAGTAATGTTTAAAAATTTTAATTTAAGAGATCTAATGACAAATCTCACATGATGATGATGATGTAATATTTTAACTTAATTTTAATTTTATTTTTTTTGTTTAACACCTCATTAAAACTCATATTAAAACTCTAATAATATTCGCAAACCGCACTAACGCATACCCTAGGCCTAGGTTCAACTCTCAATTTGCAAGTCCCGACCAACCTCGATCTAATGGGTTAGCCATGGGAGTCAAGAGCCTCTTCTTGCAAGCTTGTGCTTGCGTCCGTCCTTACAGGCCTTCGGGTCTACTTTTAGACCCAATTTTGATAATCCGAACCGTTTATATTTTATGATTTATTCAGTATATCATACCTGTAAAAAATCAAGTTGATCGGATATCAGAAGTATGTGTTTGAAAAATTAAACTAAACACTATTTTTTAAAGAATTTAATAAACAGTTTTCCGAACATATGCTTTCTGATATCCGATCAACTTGATTTTTTACAGGTATGATATACTGAATAAATCATAAAATATGAACGGTTCGGATTGTCAAAATTGGGCCTAAAAGTAGACCCGAAAACCTGCAAGGACGGACGCAAGCACGAAAGCTGCAAGGAGAGGATCCTCACTCTAGCCATGGAGGCTTGGTTCGAATAAATACGCACATACGCAATCATAGGCTTATCATTATTAGATGGAATCTCACTGTCAGACATTAGATGGAATCTCACTGTCAGACATGAATAATGCTTGGGACCCCCTTTTGGGGTCACCCCCTCACCCCCCTTTGCCATGTGGAGGGTGGTGATTGGAGGAACAGGAAAAAAAAGAAAAAGAAAAAGAAAATGTAACCAATGAGAGAGAGAGGGGGTCAAAGGGGGTGGGAGAAAAAGGGGATGAATCATTGTTGGTCAGACATTATTATGTATATAATTAATTGTGTATAAGTTTTATATATATATTTATTTGATCTGTACATGTTAAAAATTACACTTCAATTAAAATAAATGATAATTCTTTTTATTTTTTTTGTTACCTAGGTTTGTTTGTTTATTTTTTTTTTTTCAATTAAAAGTAACAATCCTTTTTTTTCAATTAAATGACAATGGGTACAGGTTTGTTTAATTTTTTTTTTCAATTAACTTTTACAATTTCAATTACAATTCAACTTTGACAAAACAACAATCCTGACCTGTAGTCCGTACGTCCACGTGAGGGATTCACCGAGCTGAGTTCAACGACGAGAAGATTGATTATGTAGGGGCAATTTGGTAATTTAATAACAAAACATCATATCAAACACTCTCCAATTCAATCATTTGAAAATATTTTCATTCATTTTTCCAAATACAAAAACTAAAATAGCTTTCAAATAGCCAAAAAGCCTACTAAAATAGTCACTTCTCAAACGAGGCCATAATAAATTGAATAATGTTAGGGATTATGAAAAAAATATCATGAAAATGATTATAAAAGAATCTCCATCCTTATATTACCTATACAATTAAACACCACACACTAATCACACACTAATCAAAAGATAAAAAATCTTCATGATGAATTTCATGATATATTTTTCATGATCCCTAGCATTATTGTAATAAATTATGAGAAAAGTTAGGGATCATGAAAAAATTTTCATGAAAATGATCATGAAAGATTTATGATTCTTGAATTAACTTGATTAGTGTGTGATACTTTATTCTAAGTGTAATCTAAATGTCACAAAACTTTCATAATTATTTTCATGAAGGATTTTTTATGATACCTAACATTGCTGATGTGCGTATTTATATATATATCAATAACTCAAATTATTGAGTCGAGATTTGAATATAAATAAACTTATCTTCTAAATAATAAGCCTATGATTGCACATACGGTTCCGAATAAATACGCACATCCGCAATCGTACGCTTATCATTGCAATTGGTAAAACATATATATATATATATATATATGTGTGTGTGTGTGTTAAGCTTTTCTTCTATCAAAAAAAAAAAAAAGAAAAAAAAAGGTAAATTACACTGATACTTTTTGAGATTTTGTTTAATTATATCTCATCTCTTGATATTTTAAAAATTATATTCTCATTTCTGTGATTAATAGTCTCATTTTACAACCCCCTACTTATATAAAAGACAACAATTTTTAGTAAAAAAAATAAAGGAAATTATATTGAAAAAAAAAAAGTAAAACAAAGGAAAGGAAAAAAAAACAAAGAAAGTAAAGCAAAGTAAGAAAACAGAGAGTATATGACTTCAATATTTTTATTTCGTCTAAATAATTACAACGACAAGAAAATTAGTGTAATTTCTCAAACGTGAGTCGGTGATATATATTAAACTTAAATCTCAAGAGTTTGTAATTTATCTAAAAAAGAAATCCAAAAAAACATTTTTTGATACTGTTATATTAATTTAACTGCATCTCCCTTTTTAATAAGGAATATCTATATGCCAATCACAATATTATTTTTAAAAGGAAGTCCTATTAACAAATTATTAAAAATCTTATCCATTAATAATTATTTTGTGTTTCATTTTGAATTTAATTTTAATATTCGCAACAAAATTGTATGGTGAGTTTACAACCAGACAATTTATACAAAAAAAATTATAAATGACAAATACTTATCCATTCATTTTAAATAAAAAACTTATTAAAATAATTTATACTTTTCAAAATTCTAGCATTACATTATTTTCAAATCATTTTGTTTGTATAATTATTGAATAATAATGTTACAGATTCAGACATAAATACTCAAAAAATTATCTAAAATTTCATATCAATAACTCAAATTTATTACATATACGAATTTCACACGTCATCACAACATATCCGTATTTCTGAGTACATTTCGAGGCCCAAAGAGTGAACCCTATCGTTTTTAATTATTGAAACATTGCGTGTGGTAATCTAACTCCTCAATCCCACACCTACATCTTCAAACTCAATTTAAAAGCACACACATCCCCACGCTTCCATTCACCATACACTTCTGAGTTGTGAGTCCTCCACAAGAACTCACAAAAACAAAAACAAAAACAAACATGACTCCATATTTCATTCTCTCCTTGTTCCTCCACCACCTAGCATTCCTCTTAGCTGGACCATTGTGCCGGAATCTGACCCATGCCGCCACCGGAGGAGGCAGGTGGACCCTCCTCAAACCCAACATTGGCATAACCGCCATGCACATGCAGCTCCTCCCCAACGACCGTGTCGTAATCTTCGACCGCACCGACTTCGGCCCCTCCAACATCTCTCTCCCCAACCACAAATGCCGACACGATCCCAACGACATCGTTTTGACATCCGACTGCACTGCCCATTCCATTGAATACGATGTCGTCTCCAACTCCCTCCGCCCTCTCACCGTCCTCACCGACGTCTGGTGCTCCTCCGGCTCTCTCTCCCCTGACGGCCGTCTGATTCAGACTGGCGGTTTCAACGACGGTGATCGTGCTGTCAGATTTTTCAAGCCCTGTAATGGTTTTGATTGTGACTGGCAAGAAATCAAATATGGGTTGAATATGGAAAGATGGTATGCCACCAATCATATATTGCCGGACGGTCGACAAATCATCGTCGGTGGTCGCCGGCAATTTAACTATGAGTTTTATCCGAAGACCGGCTCGACTAATCGAGCTTACAGTTTACCCATTTTAGTAGAGACTAATGAGCCCAAAATTGAGAACAACTTGTACCCATTTGTGTTTCTTAACGTTGATGGGAATTTGTTTATTTTTGCGAATAATCGTGCAGTACTGTTCGATTATTCGAAGGGTATTGTCGTCAAGAGATACCCGAATATGCCAGATGGCAATCCTCGGAGTTATCCGAGCACCGGTTCGGCAGTTTTGCTGCCATTGAAGAACTTGCAAGGACGAGCAATTCAAGCTGAAGTGCTGGTTTGTGGAGGTGCACCAAAAGGATCCTACACCAGCGCTCGAATGGGTCAATTTGTCGGAGCCTTGAAAACATGCGGGCGGATCAAAATAACCGACCCATCTCCCCAGTGGGTTATGGAGACTATGCCTCTGGCTCGGGTCATGGGTGACATGGTATTGCTTCCAAACGGTGATGTTTTGATTATTAATGGTGGGTCGGCAGGGACAGCCGGATGGGAATATGGTAGGAACCCGGTTTTAAATCCGGTTGTTTACCATCCCGATATGGCAATTGGGTCGAGATTTGATGTCCAAAACCCGAGCACTGTACCCCGGATGTACCATTCCTCGGCAATTTTGCTTCGTGACGGTCGAGTTCTTGTTGGTGGTAGTAATCCTCATGTTGCTTACAAATTTAAGGGTGTCCTTTTTCCCACTGAATTAAGATTGGAAGCTTTTTTGCCATCGTATTTGGATTCAGGATCCGTTAAATTGCGTCCAAAGATTATTTCACCTGCTTCTCAAATCAAGTTTAGGTACGGTCAACAGATTACGATTCAATTTACAGTAGCTGGTACTATAAATGGAAATTTGGTCACCGTAACCATGGTTGCACCATCATTTAACACACATTCATTTTCCATGAACCAAAGATTATTGGTGCTTGGTGGCGGAAATGTGAGAATTATTGGAAAATCCACATATGAAATTGGGGTGGTGACACCGGGTTCGGGTAAACTTGCCCCATCCGGATACTATCTTTTATTTGTGGTCCATCAACAAATACCCAGTGACGGCATTTGGGTCCATATACAGTGAAACTTCTCTTTCTTTCAAAATTAGTGTTGAATTTGTAGTATATAAAATATTTTCACTATTTCTTTTCAAAGATCAAAACATAGTAAAAGTAAGTTGTTTTGACAATTTTTTTTTTCTTGCAAGGATGGTTATGATGTCATCAAAATTGTATTTACAAGATTAAATAAAAAAGCTGGATCTTCATGTTATGAATTGTACTTTACATGGATAATTCTTCCATGACATTAATTAATAAAAGATGGTTGTTATATATTAGTGGAATGTTTTTATCAATTTTTTTTATTATCTATGTAACTTTTCATGTCATGTATTATAATGATTTCTATTGTTTTCTTTAAATATAACAAGTCAAGACCTACAAATATAAATAATATTTATTTTATAAAAATATATGAAATATGATGATAAAATATATCTAGTAACCAATATCATTTCAATGAAATGTGAGTACCTTTTATGTCAATTGACAAGTACTGGGCAACGTTTCGTATCATCCATAGCCTCTTATTGACTTTTAGTAATAATCATTCAAGAGGAAAATGTTTTGGTGTTGTTATGGATTCCATATAAAAATGATAAAGATTCAAAAATAATATTCACAAATTTATTTTAAAAATAAGTATGGGGTGAAGATTGAACTTGATGATGTGAGTTCCCCTATAAACAATGAATTTCATCCACACAATTCAAATTTTGAGCTTTTTTTTTTTTTTTTTTTTCTTGAATTCGTAGAATTGTTGTTCCATATAATTTTTTGGATTGTTTTTGTCAAAAAGTATATGATATGTTATGATCTATGCATCATATTAACATGTACTTTCTAATAAAATTCTTGAACATTTATACACATTAAAAAAGCATGTATACATGTAAAAGATTTTACTATTTATTAACATTATACCTGTTTGATTACATCAATTTGGCTTTTTTTTTTTTCCTTCATTGATGCCAATCAAAAAGAAAATCACTTATAATTAAACAAAAAAAAAGGGGGGGGGGGGGTTTTCACCAAATTTTTTGTTAAAATCACCAAATTTTTGTTCAAAATCATCAGAGGCGGCAACATTTCATTAGATAATAATGAGTCTTACTTTATCACAATCCAATGACAATACAACATCTCAATTACATCCATACAAAAATTCAACCTACCAATGATTATTGTAATGCCCCAATTTTCATGTTCAAATAGTAATACAATAATTATGGCCCTTTAAAGTAAAACTGATAATAAATCTTCATACTTGCATTACATGATGTAAATATTCTTCATGCGATAATACAATTAATTAAACAACAAATACCTCCAAGGGTTTATAAGTTTCCAAGATTTGAGTCTGGTTATACAAAACAGTTATTCAAACCCACACATACAAAGCCCTTGGCTTACAATTAGAGTCACAACAAATGAGCACATTATGCTCTCTGCACACACCTCCACGCCTTCAGTTGGACAGAATCATCACATCTTTTCTTACACAAGAATCCTGTAGGGTGAGCATAAACTCCAGTAGAAAATCCTTAACAAAGTATATACGTTTTATACAATTCTCAAGAGATAAATGCACATGTCATGCCATGTCTTTAGAAAATAAAATACATCTTCATCGTTTGAAAACCATCATACTCAATGATGTTTTGCAACTTCAACTGTTCAAAATTTATCAATTTAGTTCAAGGGGGCGGTAAATACAACTCTAGTAATCCTTAGGCCGGTGTCTGCAAGTAGACTATACAAGTACTACCAATTTGTCATTTTTACCAACATTGACTGGAAGGCTCGACACCTGTAATTTGTCATTTTTACCAGTATTAACTAGAAGGCTCGACACCTATAATTTCATCTACACCACCTGTCAAGACTTACCACCGTATTTACCCCAAAACCAATTCATGAAAACTTGTTTCTTAGCATTCTTTTCTCAATACAAAGTTTTCAAATCGAATTTCAAAGCTTTTCATTATCAATGAATTGATATGCCAATGTATCAATTTATACAATGCAACATTTTATCCATTTTTCATTCTTCCACACAATATTTCCATTGTGATTAAAATTTCCATTTCTTCTTTCGCTACAATTTCACAATATGAATAAATATATTTATTTTAATTCATCCAAGGGATGGCATAACTCTCACATTTCAAGCCATCTCAACAATTTCCCATATTTCATGAAAATATCATTTATATAAATATAAATAAGAAATTTTCATACATCCATTTATTTTGGGCATACAAAATAAATATAACATCATCATCCATGATTTCTCAACATCTTTTTAAAACTCTTATTTTCTAGGTTTTCTTACCAAACAATTCATCTCCAAAACATTTGAAGAATCTCACCAAAAATATCTTTCTTTAATCAACATAGTTCAAAACTCCCAATTTCTATCTCAAATGATCAAATAGTAAACCCACTTTCAAAATCACTCTTTTTCTTGAATCAACAATTAATTTTCAAAACTAATCAAAGGCTGATTTCAAAAATCATCTAGATCTTGCAAAAACATATATATAACTCAAAGAAAATCCCTGCCTCAAGTTTTGAAGAAAGATTGATATGAAACCCCAAAATTTACGGTGTCGAACCTTGATCTCCACCGCACACCACAAAACCCTCGAGGAGATAATTAACTTTGGTGAAGAACTTAGGCCAAAATCCCAATGGATTTGAAGAAATCAAAGAGAGATGGTGGCTTCTAGAGAGAGAACCTGCAGATTTAGGATTTTTGAGTAAAGACGAGATAAAAAATGAAGCAAAACAGCGCTGCTGGAAACTAATATACACCAGGCTCGCTCGAGCGAAGGAGTTCTCGCTCGAGCGACCAGACACAAAAATGTCACCTCGCTCGAGCGTAAGAAGCGTCGCTCGAGCGTAGAATGCAGAGCTTCAGGTCTGCCATCAATGCTGACGCACGCTCGTGCACAAGAAGTCTCGCTCAAGTGAATAAACAATTTCACAAGGCTCGCTCGAGCGAAGAACAGATTACACAAGGCTCGCTTGAGCGCAAGAAGTCTCGCTCGAGCGAAGAAGCCAAAATCTAGGCAATAACATTCTAGACCAACTAACAACCAACCTGTTCCAAATACGCCAAACATAATCTAAAACTCAAATACAAAGAGTTAAAGGAAGGAAACAAGCAACAGTATACAATCACAGAATCTGAGTCCGGAACACAACGAAAGTTGGGGTAAAAATATGGGTCGCTATAACTATCCTATGAGAAAATTAAGAGATTTAGATGTAGGTTCTACTGTGTGGACTTATTATCCAATAGATCCTATGATAATTAATAGCGTTTTTCATAAAACACTATTAAAAAGAAGTTACTAATTGTTAATTTCAACGATAGTCTGAAAATTTGGTCACAAAAAATGACATTAATTATAAGTTTTATGGACGATTTAAAAAAAAATTGTCACAAAAAACCATAACTAATTTTTGACTGTCAGCGATAGTTTGAAAAATTCGTCCAAAAAAGTCACTAGTTGTAAGTTTTAGTGATAATTTATAAAAAAACATGACAAAAAAGTTACTAATTGTTAATTTTTAGCGACATATATAAAAAATTGTTATAAAAAATTATTTTTAGCGATAATTTTATTAGGACTTATTTTTAATAGGACTTGATGAGAATTAAGTCTAACTATTAAGACTTATTTATAGTTTACCCAAGAAAATTTGGATTAGATGCCGTTTAGAAGCTTGCAAGGTTGGACTTCTTTCAAGTTTACATCTCCACTTGAAGGGCCTCATCATGAGTCCTGTTTTAATCATATGAACCGTTCATATTGTAGGACCATCCGTATATTTCATCCATAAAAAAGTTGAGTTGATACAATAACAGTATATTTTTTATTTTATCGTATTTCTCTTTAAAAAATTTGATGATCTATTTTCAAAATATATTTATCGTTTATTTTTTTAGAGATATACATCGATAAAATGAAAAAGTTACAATTATCGAATCGAGTTAATTTTTTTCATGATAGATATATATTAAGACCTCTACAAAATGAATGGTTCGAATAACTGAATCGGGACCTATGATAGGCTTTTACAGACCTCTCAAATTCTCTTAAATTAAAATGTAAATATGAGAGAAATCTAATTTTTAATGTAACTAGCATGTGAAAGACATAATTTCACATCAAATACATTGTATATGCAACAAAATACTCATTTTGAAGATGTAAAAAGAATTTAATCTAACAATATCAAGTAAATTAATAACGATAACTTATTTTCGTCATGTCCGGTATCAAATAATATTTATTGGTTTTTATAAATGAATGTGAACTAAGGCCCTGTTGGTTTTGGGTTATAGGGAACGAAATTGAATTAGGATAGATGTGAAATTTATTAAAATTGTGTTTATTTGTAAAATTGGGAAGGGGGTTCATAGTCTTAAGGGACTATTGGAGGAAGGAATTAGCGAAGGCATCCGGGCCGTTTATTTTAGTCCAAAGGCCATGGAATTGGACTAATAATTCCATAGATCTCACAAAAATTGTGTTTGATTGGAACAAAAACTTAGGACTAATAGTCTCTTAAGACTATTAATACCCTCCAAGGAAGGGACTAACAATCCCATGAGGATTGTGTTGGTTGTGTTGAAAAAATTATTATTTTAAGCCACGTAAAAGGCATGAATAAATAAGTTGCATGCATGCAAAAAGTGACATTATGGATTTGTATATATGAACATTAAATATATTCATAGCTAAATGTAGTGATGAAATCCAATTAATATGTTTGCTTGTCAAGATATAATTACTACATAAATCAGGAACTCAAGATTTAGAGCACAAAATATAGACACAAAGCACAAAGGTGATTAGCAAACATTTGGTGCACAAGTCAATTTTAATTACTTTGCATGAAGGAAATATGAAATCTTTCTACTCAAATGTTTAGAGTATGATTCCCATATGGTACCACTAGACCTTTGCTATGGTAAACTTTTCTTATTGAAAAATATTTTGGAGCTATAATTGAATGTCCTTAATTTATCTCTAATTAATGATGTGGAATGGATTTCACTCATCACTTCTCATCCTTCCTCTCTCTATCTCTCTCTTTTCTACCTCATTAAAGATTAAAATATATTACGGAATATAGCCCCACTCTTTCTTATTTTTATTTACGATGTTGTCAATTTAGTTTTTTTGGGGTGTGTAGTGATTTTAACTCTACAAAACTACTCACTATTAAATATGAATGCATTTATTTTTGTTTAAAGAGTAGTAGGACAAACAAAAAAAATATAACTTAAATTCTAATCCATAATGATGTGGTAGTCTTATGTTGTATCATTTTTAAATAAAAATCCATCAATTTTTTGACTTAGGGTTGTTTTGACAGTAGACTAAAATAGTCAAAAAGTCAAAAAAATATTACAAAAAAATAACTATTCTCTCTATTTTTTAGACATTTTTTCATAAAAAATTAAGAAAAGTCAACTAAATAGCCAATTTCCAAAACAATCCTTTCAAAAATAATATTATCACATCATTCTAATGTAAAATTACATATACATTTTCTGTTTTATTTAAAAGGATGAGTCTTTTGTTTAAAATCTTTTATTTTTTTCCCCTTCTTTTTGTGTGAGAATAAGGAAATATTATTGATGAAAAATATCATAAAAAAAGGACTTTATGCTATATTTGGTTGAAAAATTTGAAAAAAGATTTGGAAAAAGAAAGAGAAAACGTGTGTAAAATTAGATGAAACGTAAATATACTTTATTTATATTTTGTCTACTTTTTTCTTTTCTCTTTCCAAATCTCTTTCCACATTTTGCAACCAAACAAAACGTTAAATTACTAATCTTACATATCTTTGGTTAAAACACAAAAGGAGAGAGGGATGTCACCAAAATACTCATTTGATTCCCTTAACTTCACCACTGAGTGAGAAAACCATCCACTAATCATTGTGAAGGATCTATAATTTTGGTTTTTTTTTTTTTTTTCTTCAGTGAACTTATCTTTTTCCTTGTACATAATGCGAATCCCAGCCATAATGGAACATAGTGTGAATGTCACGCAAAAAATCGAAAATCCAAAAAGATAAGGTCATTGTCGACTTCCATCACCATCAGACTAGGCTGTTACAATGCCCAGTTCTAATCCATATACATATAAGTTATCTATAATTGGTGGTCCAAGCTTTTAAGTTTCCAAAAGCAAATACATTACCACACAAAATAAATAAATAAATAAATACAAAGTCATATCCATTGGCGTTTTGCTCAGCTGGTGTATATGTCCCTACACATCCTGCATAAGGTTACACATCCTGCATAAGGTCTTTGCCTTCTGAGTTTCAACCATCAATTATCTCTTGAATATTTTTACAGCCACCCAAAAAACAAAAAGATAAATTATATAAATAGTCCCTATAATTTACACGATGTGTCAATTTGGTCTATATAGTTTCAATTTGCTCAATTTTATAGCTTAATGTAATGGATTGTGTCGTTTTAATCCAATAAATAATGGTTGTTAAATTAATTTAACGGAAGGTCAAACAATGTATCAGTTTGGTCCATGTACTTTACACGATGTGTCAATTTGGTCTCTATAGTTTCAATTTTCTCCATTTTAACAGGGACTAAATTGATACATTGTGAAAAATACAGGGATCAAATTGATACATTGTTTGACTTTTCGTTAAATTAACTTAACAACTGTTATTTATTGGACTAAAATGACACAATCCGCTAAATTAAGGGGCAAAATCGAGCAAATTGAACTTATAGGGACCAAATTGACACATCGTGCAAACTATTTGCATAATTTTCCCAAAACAAAAACAAAAAAATCTGTTTGATTTTTCCATTTTTAAGAACAATTGTCGAGTTTTCAATATGTATTTTTTAATTTTTAGAGATTGAATAGTGTACACACCATCGGTAATATTGGCTTGACCATTTAGGCAAGTTAGACACTCACTTAAGCCCAACACAAAAAAGGACTGTGGTTTTGCTAGTGTCGAGCTAGGTACGATCACTTCCGATTGATTACATGTTTCACTAATAACTTGTCACGTGTATTTAACAGTTACATAAACAATAAACTAAAATGAAACGGTGAGTTTCCCTGTTATATTTTCCCATGTGGGACCATCATCTTCTTTACGGATGTAATCTATAAAATGCGTGAAATGAATATATTTAAATTGTAGATTTTATATTTAAAAACTTGATTAATTCTATTTAAGATAAATGTACGAAATAAAATAATCTTAAATCCATCCTTCTATTCAGAATAAATAAATAAAAAATCCATGCTTCTATAAAAATATAACTTCCACATATATACACGTAATGTAAAATTCCATGGTACGTACCCTTCTGCTATATCCACCTTGTTACATTTTTTTTTATTATAATAAATATGGTGTATTTTTATGATAAATATTATGTATTTTTCTAGTAGGAGTTACAAAAATTTGTGATTAAGAAATAAAATTACGTATTTTATGGTAGTGTATGTATTTTTGTGGTATTGTTATCCATTTTACAGTTTGAAAATGTTTGGATAAAAAATATGTAATATTATCACAGTAATACTTAACATTACCACAAAATATGTAACTTCATTTCACTATTATAAAAATGCTTAAAGATCACGCTTAAGAAAATTAAAACATGACACTTTTAATGAAAGTGTGATTAAAAAAATCAAATTAATATTTTAATCACACCTAATTTAATTAAGTGTGATGATATTTATTTTTATGTCACTTTTCAATTAAATATAATTATATCTTCCTTTTTTTTTAATCACACTTTTTAATTAAAGTGATTATATATTTTTTAAATTTGTTAAACAAATCAGAAAAATACTACTTTTTTATTTTTATTTTTTTATTTTTTTTAACTGCTTGCAGCAGCCCACCACTACACTAAACAAATCATTTTTATCTTTTGAAATTCCAAACCAAATAACCTCTCTCTTTTTGGGTGAATACCAAACCTATCTCTCAATCCTCTGTCTCTCGTTCTCTCCAAACCCTAACACTAGTCTTCTGTATATTCTTGGATCGGCCGGCACTGTCTCCATTCTTCGACCGGCGGAGAGTGACGAGTAGCGAGAATGGAGGCGATCGGCTAGCGGCGGCAATGGCAGCAATCGGCGAGCGGTGGCGACAATTGAGGTATATTTTTCTCTTCTCTTTTCTTCTTCTCTTTGTATTCTTCATAGAAACACTTTTGTGCTTTTGATTATTGCTTATGGTCATTGAGATTTTCCGAGTCAAAGTTGCCATTGCACATATGTATTCCTCTGAATGTTTTATACTATGCAAGGTCTACGACATAAGAACATTATTATGAAAACAGAAAGTCTTATAGTTTTTAAAAAATCTTGTACCTTCTCATTGTTTCTGCTTTGAATATCTCATATTTGCATAGGATACATAGACTGCTTCCATGTTTTGGTGCCTTTCAAATTTATTTATTTATTTATTATTATTTTTAATGAAAATAAAATTCCCCTCTTAAGTTTTTCTGATGTACAAACATTCACTAGTCTAATATAATAAAAATTGTTGACTAACTCGTGTGTAATTTATGTTTATGAACAAAATAGAAATATTAAGGAAAGGATACTAAGTGGTGAGTGCTTTATCCTCAGCAACTAACTCACTCTGTTCTTGTTTTTTCCTGCTGGTAAATTATCAATATGAAAGAAATTGAGTCTTATTTGTTTATATAAATTTTACTTTTTTGGTCCATTGAACATATAGTTATGCAAGTCATCAAAATCTAGGTCTAAAAATTGACCTATTGTGACGAAAAAGGAGGAAGGCACTATTTATGAGAAAGGCTGTAAAAATAGCAAAATTTTACAGCGGCAAGCTATTACGTACATAAACCCTTAGGGAAGACACAACCCTTTAGCCCAAGGATAATGGTATTACCCATTTATTAAATGGGGAATCTGGTCAATGACCTTGCAAAGAAAAGGAAACTAGTGAGTCAAGTGAGAGAAACTGTGATGCCCTTTGAAGACACTGCCAATTTACATGACCATATTCCACTGATTTTTTTTGTTACGAAGTTGAAAGATACTAAGATTCATGTCCTTTGCTTTGTCAAGTCTACAAAGAAGAGAGCTTATATCCTCCCTTGAAGAAGCAAGAAACAACATGCATTCATAATTTTACATAATTTATGAATTCCAAGTTGCTCATGATGACTTAAAGGAAAAATCAAATAATATCTGGTTAAGTGATATCCAAGAAAGAACAAATCTCATTGTTGTTCGGATAGAAATATTAACACCTTTTCAAGCACAATGACCAGAAAAATTGGGACTATTTGAATTCAGTGGAGATGAAAGCTCAAAAGTAGATAGTTGTGGAACTTTAGTGGATAATTACATAGGGGACTTGTAAATGTCATGAAAAAATGTTTTGTCCTCCCTTTATTGTCGAACTTACCAAATAACCAACTAGTAGCCAAAAAAAGATTTATGCTTATGTCTGTAAAATAAATTGTGACCCTTTCAAATATTTGACCATATGCTTTTACTTCCTAGCAAACCTTATGCCAAATATATTCTTGTGTGTTTCCATTTTCAGTCTGTAATGGGGGAAGAAGATTTTCTCATTTTATATTGGTAGTTATTTTTGTTTGGGTGCCAAGAAAATATAGGAAAAATCAATCAAACTATAAAAATTTTGAGTATTGGTGTTTCATTATATGGGTTTAGTTAAAATGAGCCTGCCTTTGGTTTTCGGGGTTAGTTCAGTTTGATTTTGGGGGAAAATCAAAGAAATAGCAAACAAAAGATTTAGGTTAAGTTCATATATATATATTTTTAACCAGTTACAAAGATAATGGGTAATGTGCTACTCGTGGTTAATGTTTTTGCTTGACCTATGGCTCACACGAAACTCAATACTAAGGATATGATTGAAAGAAAAAGGCCAAATGGCTATCTTCTTCCATAGAAATGTTGTATTTGTATAAGGGATGAAAAGAGTATTGATATAGCGTTTCTAGTTTAGACCCAACCTGTTGTATGTTTTGGATCCGGGTTTTGTTGTCTTATGTAGTTGTTCATGTCATGTTTCCCCTTATCTTTCTTTGAGTTTGGCTTTTGGGACATATTGTGTATGTTTGGAACAGGTTGGTAGCTTTTTTTTTTCAAGTTGTTGATGCCCAGAATTTTGTTCATACGCTCGAGCGACACTTCTTGTACTCAAGCGGTCCTTATGAACCTCCAGTACTTTTGCAAGTCTGCAAAAATATTGGGAGTGTGTATTCTTCGCTCGAGTGACAATTCTTGTGCTCGAGCGACGGTCTTCTATCTGTAAAACTACTGGGAGTTTGTATTTTGCGCTTGAGCAAAGCTTCTTGCGCTCGAGTGGTAAAACTTATTGTGTCTGATCGCTCGAGCGATAAATCTTGCACTTGAGCGAACTGTGCGTATATCAGTTCATAAACAGCCTTGTTTGAGTCTCTCTCTCTCTCTCTAAATATTTCAAAACCCTATTTTCTCTCTTTCTCTCTCTCTCTCTCTCTAAAACTCATATCTTTTACTCAAATATACCTAGATCCGTTGATCTTCTCATCCTTGTTCCTTTGTTAAAAAGATAGAGCTCGACGAAGGCTTCATTCTAATCAGAGCAAAGTTGATTTTCAGCGTCTTCGAGTTTTCTACTCTCTCTCTCTCGTCTTCTAAACTCGAGGTAGCGATGTCTCCATTCTTTTTATGAGTTTTAATTTAGTTATTTGTTATTTTTAAACAATATTGGGATTTTGGAAGATTTGGAACAAATCTAGGGTTTTAGGTAAAAAAAAAAAAATCAAAACAGGGGTTTTCAAATGGATCCTTGAAAATGACTAAGATGTTGGTAAAAATACTGAGTTGGGAAGAAATTGTTGATTTTGATACTCGGAGTTGATTTTGGAAAGAAAAGGAATTTTGCCCTATATGTCTTAAATATTGGTTTTGTATAAATAATGAAATTGATGTTGAAATTGTGAAATTGGATTGATATTGATGAGGATGGTAGAGTTGGATGTGTATTATCACTCACCTCTTGAAATTTGGAAAGTGTATCTTTATTGAGAATTGTATATCTGTTTAAAAATATTTGTTTTGGGCTATCGGTAGAGGATAGTTATGATTGTTGTAGAAATTGTATGAGAATTAGGAGAATTGAAACTATTTTTCTCACTCACTTGCATCGGTCATTATTTCATATTTATACATTGCAAATGTATATTGTTTTGAGAAAAGGTTTGTTGTTACATCAAATAAGTTGACCTATGTGTCTAGGGTGAAAGTCACGAAAATTGCGCGTATACATGGGTGCCGATCCCGTTGACAAAATTTTTGTGAATTGGCAATAGTAATGCTTTTATAGCCTACGTTTACATGGGTTCCGGTTTACGGTTTCCTTATAACGGAATTTTAGGAAAATGTTGTATTGTTTTGAAATTTCTAGAGCGTGATTCACTGCCCTATCTTTTATTCCAAAGGAAGTGGTTTATGATATTATTATGGCATTGGATAGTTTCGAAAAGAGATATAAAATGTTTTGGCACGAGCATTACATATACATTCACCTTATAGCTTTGTTAAGATTCATATACTGTGTTAGATTATTTCTACGGGGTTTTGGTTCATCCTATGTGGAAAAAACATTTTATGTGCTGATGATATGCTTCCGTCAATGCAATAGCTTGGGAGGACTTGGAGCGAGTGCTACTTTTGTGTATTGATTGTATTTATTTTTGTATAAGCTGAGGACTTTAACTGTATTGGACTTAAGTCCACTCTTGTTGTAACCAAGTATCGTCTTGGAAAGATGTAAGCCTTTAGGGTATTTCTTATTTGTTTTACTTTCATCTTGTCTCTTTAGTATATCACTCTTTTGTAAAGCTTAATTGCAAATCTAAGAAAGATAATCACTTTATCTCGGCTATCACATATTTTGATGTTGTGGATGGTTTATAGTAATTATTTCGGAGCGTTACAATTGACGACCTATTTTTGCATTGTCATCTGACTTTGGTCTTATAGTGGAGATTATTTCATTTGGTGGAGGTTGATTGGGTCATCCCTCCTTTTGCTCGCATGCTTGTCATTGACTTTTGGGGATTTGGTTTTAATAGGAAGGCTTCTTGCTTTTTGAAGATGTGTAGTTTTTGTGGTGTTGTATTCTATGGTTAGAAAGAAATGGAAGAATTGAGGATAAATTAGAAGATATGGAGGGTTTGTGGGATAAAATTTTTTATTTGGCATTTGTTTTGGTTTTGGTGTCTCCTCTATGGTGATTCCGTTGTTTGAGTAGTAGAGATTGGAGTGTGGTGTGTGATATGTAATTTTCTTTTCATGTTTGATGGACTTCTTGTCCACCATTGAACTCATTGTACCTCATTTTGCTCTTTTTTTATTTTTTAATAATATTTTTGTTGCTTATAAGAAAGAAGAAATGGGTGAAGCAGAAGAAATGTTGTTCTTATTTAGCTAAAAGCAATATGATATACAAAATTGTTATGCGATGTAAACTTTGTTCTTTTGATTTGTTTCTTAGTGGCATATTGATGTTTCCATTGCATTGCTGTCACTTACACAGTGGAACATGAGAGATTGGTTGAAGCATACTCTGTTGTAAACCAAAAACTGCAGCATTCTTTTTCTGAACAGACTAATTTGGGGAGGACCATCAGGAATTGAAGGTTTGTGATGTTATCATGGTCAAGGGTATTGTTCTTTCGTTTAAGCATTCCCCACGGCTTAGACTTGCACACAAGCACTGCTTGGGCTTATATCGTTTCTAATGCCATGTGATATATTTTTCTTTTTTCTTTTTATGCTTTGGATAGGTTGCAATGTGCAAAAGGTTATATGAAAAGGAATGTAAACTTCATTATCCTTACCCCCGCACTGCGGAAATTGCTCCAGGTTCTCTCTGTACAATTTTTGTAGTATGGTTTTCCTGTCTAATTGATTTAATTATACTAATTTTTAGCCAGGCCAATATTCATTGTTAATTGAGATATTAAACCCATCTTCTTTTACTGAGTAAGTGCTTGTCTGACTAAATATGCAATTGGTAATAAAGAAGATTCTCATTGATATAAATTTTTGCTGTCTGACTAAATATGCAATTGGTAATAAAGAAGATTCTCATTGATATAAATTTTTGCTAGTGCATGCTTTGCTAAGTTAATATTGATTGATGTTGCAATTGTGTGCGTGCCATTTCATGTCTGTTTTTTGTTTCCTAAGATTCTTTGCCATATGTGCAGTAAAGCCAGAAATAGACAGACAAGTAACATTTGACAAACACAGATAAATGACCCCTGGAGCACCACCACAGCACCAAAAAAAAAAAAAACAAAAACAAAACAAAAACAAAACAAAAATAAAAAAGAAGAAAAAAACAAAAGGAAATAAGTACCCACATCACCCACTTTTTACCTTTTCTCATTGCATGCTTTGCTAAGTTAATATTGATAGATGTTGCAATTGTGTGTGTGCCATTTCATGTCTGTTTTTTGTTTCCTAAGATTCTTTGCCATATGTGCAGTAAAGCCAGAAATAGACAGACAAGTAACATTTGACAAACACAGATAAATGACCCCTGGAGCACCACCACAGCACCAAAAAAAAAAAAAACAAAAACAAAACAAAAACAAAACAAAAATAAAAAAGAAGAAAAAAACAAAAGGAAATAAGTACCCACATCACCCACTTTTTACCTTTTCTCATTTTTGATTAGGTTGAGACCCCTTATATTTGACTCTAGTGTCTAATCAGTATTGTCAGAAATAAGAAAACTAATTGTTTATTAATTGTTTTTTTTTGAATATACTAACAGCTTCACAGCATGTTGATTGGTTTGGAACCTCTGAACCCTAACTGCTTATTTTCTTTTCTTCTCTTCTCTTTGATTTCTATGTTCTATTCATGCGGCGTTAACAAGTTGGTTCTCTCTTCCTCTTTTGTTCTCTTCCTATCTTCTCTTCTTCTCGAAGGGATGAATTTTCTTCATTGTTTTAGAGGACTTTTTATTTGTCATTAAATTTTTTGTCTTCGTATAAAAACTGATTTGGAATTTGTGATGAAAAAATTTGTTGGCTATTGTTTGTAAAAAATCACATGCTTTTAGATTAGATACAATGAAATCCTAAAAAATTCGTTTGTTTTGTAAGACTAGACTAGTTTCTACAAATAGTAAGTTTATTCATATGCTTCTAGAAGTCTTAGAATTAATTTGTGTTTTTATTTTTCAGGTCAAAAATTGCTTGGAGAGATGCAAAATATGGTCAAAGAATTCACGAACTTTGTGCTTCAAGTTCTTTTATTTTTTAATATATGTAATCACAGTGAAAAACTTTTTATTAATTTCTTTGTATATACTTTTGAGCATTCAACTTTCATTTATGAAATATATGATGTTATTCCATTCAATATGTGGTTGTGATTCAAATGATAGTATATAGCGTGTATTACATCTTCAAATGCGCGTACAAATATAATATTGATTATTCTTCAAATATGTCGATTTTTTTTTTTTTAATTATCACACATTAACTGTGATGAGAAATGCATATAACGTGTAATCTTATCTCATTATTAATCATATGTTTTATTAGATATTAATTACATTTAAAATCTGTGATCTAAATATTTATTATCATAGGTACACAAAATCTATGACAAACCTTTCAACGGTTGCTGGTGCATTGCAAAACCCAAAGGTCATTACACACACACCCTAAACTGTACCAAATTTTTTAGAATAATGGTAAGTCTAGGTATCGATTCACAGGGACAAATATGAAATTAAACTAATTTAATTATTAAATTTTTAAATTAATTTTGATCGAAGAAATGATTGATTTATAAACTAATCTAATAATAAATAAAATAAACTAAGAGATTAAACTATCAATTAAGAATGAAATTAGGATTACTGATTGTTAGAAAAACCTACGGTAATGAATTTACGACTAGTTATATAAATAAGGTTTCAATTTGAAAATTAATTATGTTACGGTTCGAAATCTGTGATCTAAATATTTATTATCACAGGTACACAAAATCTGTGAGAAACCTTTCAACGGTTGCTGGTGCATTGCAAAACCCAAAGGTCATTACACACACACACCCTAAACTGTTCCAAATTCTTTAGAATAATGGTAAGTCTACAAATGTGAAATTAAACTAATTTAATTGTTAAATTTCTAAATTAATTTTGATCGAAGAAATGATTGATTTATAAACTAATCTAATAATAAATAAAATAAACTAAGAGATTAAACTATCAATTAAGAATGAAATTAGGATTACTGATTGTTAGAAAAACCTATGGTAATGAATTTACGATTAGTTATATATATAAGGTTTCAATTTGAAAATTAATTATGTTACGGTTCGAATCAAATAACACTTTGCAACTACAAGCTTGAAGCGTATCAAGAGAATTAACACATTCAATGTATAGGCACGAACCATCTAAAATAGTATGAGTCGTTCGCTCTAAACTAGGGTAGCTACACGACTCGTCCCTCGTAGTATGACTCATCTCATACCTTGAACATGAAAGAAAAGAAAATCATTGCATGGAAAGTATTCAACAATCACAGAAAACAGAATACTTGAAGAAATAATGAAAAATATATTTCAAAACTTATTGAATACCGTACACCTGTTCAAACCATTATATAAAAGAAAACCAAAATAAAAAACCCTATTTTCTTGGCTAGGGTTTTATCAAAACTCTAGAAATAGAAGCCTAGCCATTCATGGTGGAGTGGGAAGAGATAGAAGAAGCAGAAACTCCCATGAAAATTGATTTTCAAGCTTGAGAATCCTCTTTTTCCAAACCTTAGCCCCTTCTCTCTTTTGGAATTTTTTAGAACCCTAATCTAGCCTCTTTTTCTTTGGTCATTTTAAACCTTTGCAATTTTCCCCACATTCAAAACATTAGGCATGCTTCTCGAGGTACGACCGCACGTGTGGGAAATTCCACAGCGCGTGCAGCGAGAGTTTCGCACGTGCGGAAATGGGCCTCCGCACGTGCGATTTCCTTAGGCTTTGTTTGGCTACGATAGATGGGCCGTACGTGCGGGAACGGTTCTCCGTACGTGTGGGAAGCATTTTTCTCTAAAACTTCTGCATTTTATGCTCCCACTGTATCCAACTTGATTGACATTAAACAAACATAAAATATATAATTTGACAGGCAAGTACACCTGAAAAATATTTTCAACCACGTAGGGTGAGCATAAACCCCAGTAAAGAATATTTCAAAAACTAAATATGCTCCACAAGCATAAATGATCATGATGCAATACATATATACAATATGCCCAAATGGATTTTCAAATCTATTTGATTTCTTAACAAAATCCTTTCTTTCCAATTACCAAAACACGTTTAATCAAAACATTTTCCGAGTTCAAAACATCTGTTTGATAAAAAATCGCTTTCCAAAAACCGATCCAGGTATCTCAATACCAACCAGCAAATACATTGCTAAATCAAATGCGAATGCATCGCTAAACAACAGCAAATACATTGCTAAAACATTTTTCAAAACATCCTTTCAAGCCAAAAAAATAATAAATAAAATAGGTAAATCTCCAAGGCAAGTGTTCTACGAGTAACTATATAAGTCACAAGGTCATTTTTATCGATGCTAACCGAAAGACTCGACACCTACTGCACTAGTTTAGGTCTTTCACCATGGACACACATACCAACTTAAATCTGCTTTAACACCCCCTCATAGCTTTATCACTTTATTTACCTTTTTTCAATAGCATAATAGGTATGATTCAAAATATTGTTTTCCAAACAATGTAAATGTTCCAAAACATAATATGAGAATTTCCAAAACCCCTTTCCAAACATACGGTTTTAAATTCTCAAAAAAATAAAAAAATAAAAATAAAAAAAATCCATTACATGCTCCATGATATGAATGATTTCAATTTGCCTAATCCACATGCAATTTTTAACACACGACAATGTTATCCTCCACCGATAACCAAAACAGCTATCTCTAATGCAATAATTATTAGATAACAATACAGATATACTTTTCCAAAAGAATAACAACACTCATTTTCAAAATCCCACAACCGGTTCCTTTCCATCTCTTTCCAACCAAACCATTTACCAAAATATCAATCAAACTCCCAAAACAATATCATTTAGGGTTTTTCAATAAATTGGAGCTTCTCCACTTTTAGAAATCCATATGCAATTTTGATTACCGAAAATAACTGTAGTAACAAAATTATAGCCCAACAACCACCAATTTCAAAACTCTCAAGCCCAAAATAACATTTCAAAATCAACCAAATGACTACCAAATATAAATAACAAAATACGTCACAAATACACTACCGAACTTATATTGAGTTTAGGAAATAGACCCTACCTTTTGAAGGGAAGAGGAGAACTTGGAAAAACTCAAAGTTGATGGAACTACGAAACTCTTAGATCAAAAGAAAGCCTTTGATGAGATCTACAACTTTTCTTAAAGGACCAATGTAAAAAGATGTCTTTAACCAAGTAGATCTAGAGATATGTGTAAAGAAAATTGAGTTTCTAAGAGAGAGAGAGAGAGAGAGAGAAAAAAAGTGTGTTTGGGGTCTATTTATAGTAGTAGAATAATAGCCCTAAAGTTAAAGAAAAGAATAAGTCAAAACCCCTAAAAAGTAGGGCCCAAAGCCGAACTAAAAATTTGGAAATAACTCACAGGGGTCAACCCTCAAGACAGTGGTGTCGACTCTCAAGAAGAAAATGTTGAGACACTAATGTGTGCAATAGATAAGGGTCGACCTTGGGAACTCGTGGTGTCGACCCTATAAACCAATAGCAGCACCCAGAACATAGCAGCAACAGACAAGGGTCGATCCCAGAGCTTGTGGTGTCGACCCCAAAAAACAGTAAAAACACCAAGAGTAAGGCAACAAGGCAGTGTCAACCCCCAAGAAGACTAGTGTCGACACCAAAACAAATTTTCCAAGTTCCCAAAGAACTTTTCAATGAAAACAAGTACGAACGAACAATCCTAACATGTCTAAATCGAATTGTACTCCTTCAAAACCAAAATACAACAATTCCAAAGACTCCCAAAATGAAAATAAAGGAATTAAATACACCTTCCAAAAGCTTAAAGGATACAAGTGTTACAACCTCCCCACCTTTGGAAATTTCGTCCCCGAAATTGAAGAAACGCCAAAACCAAAAAGTCCACCTAACGGTATTGGTGAACACGACATCACTTCACACTTAGATCCATTTTGGGATAAGTTCCTGGATCTCGATCCAACTCTTCGGGGTCCCAAAGACACCCGAACACCAAGAATGATAAGAAAACCTCACAGATGACTCTTCGATCCACATAACTCCGTTGTCTATGAGACAAGAAACAACAACCACCACAAGAAGAAGAAGAAGAAGAAGAAGAAGAAGAAGAAGAAGAAGAACTCCTCGGATTCAAAGGCTTTATCCACGCCTCAACCACCGACAATGCCCAAATTGCTACCGAGTGCTCAATGCTTGGACACGGAGAATAAGAAAGCTACTCGCACAGAAAGCTCTTAATTAACTCTCTCGTAGCACGAGAACATAAAACAAAACACGATTAACCTAACAACGTTACGACACACCAATGCTCAACAATTCTATGTCTTTGCAAAAATAACATACAACGTATAACTAGCAACTCAAGTTAGGTCAAAACACAACTTTCCAATACAAGATATAAGGTATCCCATTTACGTTATTAAAAAAAAAAAAAAACCTTATTTTCCCCATTTGTTTCAAAACACTTTGCTTTCCCAAAAGATGTTCAAACTCGCACCATCACAACCCAAATACCTTTTTAACTGTCCACAACAAAACTCAGGGATTTTCAATTTGTTTTTTCGAAGCCACAAGTGTTACTCATAACACCAAAATCAGTTTCATTTTCAAAATGTTATTGTTATTATTATTATTATTATTATTATTATTATTATTATTATTATTATTATTATTATTTGAGAGGGTAATTTATGCATAAATTGGGCCGAGCCACGGACCGAGGTAATTATCTCAGTAGCCTTGGTCCTTGGTCGCATTGGTTTGGTCAAAGGTGGGCTATCAGTGGCCTGGTCTAACGGTCGTAGACCGAGGTATCTGATTTGAGAGGGTAATTTATGCATAAATTGGGCCGAGCTAAGTAAGTCCGTTGGAATGAACCGACATAGATATAGTCTTGGGCCGAGCCACGGACCGAGGTAATTATCTCAGTAGCCTTGGTCCTTGGTCGCATTGGTTTGGTCAA